AAATTTTTTCTTTCGTTTAAAAAATATTCGTAACCTTGTAAATTATAAATATGTCTTTTTTTTTTTAGTTTTTCTTTTCTCTCTCTCTTTAGATTTAAGATTTTTTTAATATATATAAAAACAAGATTTTTTATTAAAAATATTATATATATATATATATATACACACATTTATAAATAACACTCCCTTTTATTATTTTTTTTATTTTTTTTTTTTCCCTCTAAATATTTTATTTACTACTTTCTTTACCGGTAAAGCAAAGTTAAAAATTTTTTTTTTTAAATTTTATCAATTATTATTATTATTATTTGTTATTTATTATTTATTTATTTTTCATAATTTTATTATTATTAATTAATTAATGAACGACAAAAGAAAAAACGAGAGAAGAAATTAAAAATTAAATTTGTATATATAAATATAACATGTTTTATTTATAATATATAATACTATTTATCACTATTTATTAATAAATATAAATACAAATATATATAGGTATATAAGTATTAACGTGGGCCTAATAGTTTTATAAATGACTGCTCGTTTAACAAATAGAACATACAATCTCCCAAATCTCCCAGATTAGAGAGTCCAATTGGATCTTTTTGATATCGAGAGCGTGTTGAATAAGTGCTTGTGAATGTCCAAATATCATTGTAATTGGTTGGTGTAGGTGTAGGTATATATATATAAGTTTTTTTAGAAGGGTGATAAAGTGGTTACTGAATGAGGATCCCGAGGTTTTATAGTGTAGTAGCCACACTAGAATGAAATGCATGACGGGCTGATGCGCACAACAGCATCACGTATCTTGGCAATAGTGAGTGATCTTTCTATTGATAGGTTCCAATTGTTGGCTGTTTGAGGTTTCCAGCTCCATTATTAGGCTCAGTTTTGACATTCGATGTTTTTATGTAGAAATAACGTGGCCTTAGTATATATGAACCTTGTGATTGACTATCAAAGAAATACTTTATACATATCTCTTTGCCAACATAAAAAATTCAAGACAGCTGATGTTCCGGCTACTTTATTATTATAGTTCTATCGTTTTGGCAGACATAAGTATGGCAATATCTCAAATATGATGCAAGGATTTTTTAAGCCAATACAATAATATTATCAATATTATGCCTACTTATCCCTTTGTCGCTTTGAATCTATCTCGCTTATCAAATCAGGCCATTCGGGAAGCGAGAAAGCCGAATAAGCTAAACGTAAATCTGAAAAGGCTGAAATTAATCACAAGGAAAAAGAGAAAAGAAAAGGCTTTATATATAAAGCTTTACCTATTATATATTTGTAGTTTGCTCAAGTTGCTGCTTGTGGACAAAACAAAACAAAACAATAACAATTAGTGGAATCTTTATAAAAAATTTATATGACATTTCT